ATATTTCATAATTATCTGTTTGGATTCTCAACTCAGATGAACAGTTAAAAAGTTGATTCTTTGATTTTTTTTTTCTCTAAAATTATAAATATCAAAACGTACAGTTGTTTTACACTGAATCTAGAAAAATTAAAAACAGTTTTGTTGCTATTAAAAGGAACAATTTCTTATCTATTGTAAAGTGTTTTGTAAAATAAAAATTCTAGTTCTACACAGGTGTAAGCTGAAGTTTTGAAAGGAAGCTGGAATCTAATATTGGGAAAATTTGGAGAACGGGCCCTAAGACAATAAATTGACAACGCACCTTAGTCAAAATATGTTTTCGCTCCATGGTCTCCAGGTCAGGACATACAACAACCTGTTTCATGTCTTATGAGAACTGATTTTGTTCCTGTTTTCTTTTCATTCGTACGAAGTAGCGTTTAAAACTTTTACATAAAAAAAAGTTCTTTTGCTTTCAACTATACGTTTTACTTTTGATCCAGAGATGTATATTCGAGTAAGAATTGTGTTTTTTTATATATATAACTCTCGATAATATATATTCAATTGAACATGTGATGAAAGACTAAACAAAGTTTTCCTCAGTATTTCATATTTTGTTATTTTTTTTTAATAGCTATACACGATAAGATTTTTTTTGTTTTCATTTTATTTTTTCTCGTAGCCTGCGGAGCAGATTGGCACAAAGAGATCAATTCACCCGACGTTTGTCCAACTGTCCGTCCGTCTGTCACACATTGTATCTGAAGAACCGTAAGAGACGTGGACTTGGTGTTTTGCACATTTATTGCTAGGCACTATTGTGTTTTTAAATTGACATTGTTACCGATCTCATGATCCCTGACCTTAGTCTTTGACGAACTTTACTAAAAGTTTTTAAAATAAATTCCTGGTTTAAAGCCATCATTTAGTTAGATTGAATGTCGAATAAATGACCTTGAAAGCAAATACAATATATCATTATGTCAAATGCTGATTAATCTTTTTTTTTCATACTGATCGTGAGGTCATTATACATCTACACAATGTGTTGTCCATCCATTTTTCAGGGTTTTTTTTTTTTAATGAACATGTTAAGGAGGACAGGTCACGTTTGACCGATCGGCAGAAGATATTCAATCCTCCATGGTGCGTGACAGCACCTCGTACGCTTTAGAGGTCTCTGTTGAATTTTTTTAATAAAATTTTGATCCCGAATACGTTTGTTTTATCCAGATATTCAATGGATATACTTATTAATAATGCCACAGGAGCACGGTTTCATACATCGATATTATTTGCACTGTTTTCACAGAGTTATGTTGGTTTTTTCCTTAGAGATTTTCCTATTTGGAAGCTTCTAGTAAACTTTTTGAACTAACAATTCCAATGAACAAACCCGGGCATTTTCAATATTGATGAAACATAATTATATGTGTGTGACGATAACTTTTTAAATATGTTCCAATCTTGCCACTTGAAAATGTTTTTTTTTTTATATTTCTAAAACGGAAATTGAGACCAAAAAATGTATAATACATATTTTTCCAACAGTAGTAAACTAATCAATGTAAATGGTTCCTTTACGTCAACAACTTAAAAATAAAAATTCTCATTGATAAATGCGTAAATTTATATGAATACATACCATTTTATAACATTTGTACTTAACATATTAAAACTACTTCATGAAATTGAGGTACTTGATATGTATAATTTTATCCTTATTACATTGTGAGGTAGAGTGGATACTTTTCTGCACACAAGTGGCTTTATTCATTAAATAGCTCCTTCGCGTGTTCGGCGAATTATAAATACTTTTTTCCGGACTCCATGCGTATCAAATATGACAATGAATGCGAGATTTGATCTTCTGGAGTCACTGTTTGCTTTTATAAAACTTTTACTTCCCTGTTTTAATTTGTGTGGTTTACATGCACAGTCATGTATGTACTCGTTTTTATCCTAGGGATTTTTATGTTTTCTTCTGCGTACGGTGAGAAAACTTGTCTTTTTAAAAATTTTTTAGCTATGCAGAGTTTTGCATTGATACATTACATATATGTGTATTTATTATTTCTCATTCAAGGTTTTCAATTATCTTGTGAAAAGACTTATTCGATTCTTGCGTGACCATAAATACTTTCTTAAAATTCAACGTGAAGTCAATGAAAACAAAGGAAGAATGATATCAGTTGCGGCTCAACGAAAACATAAAGTTATCCCTTCTGTTTTTTTTTTTAATTTTTTATGCATTCAAATTGCGTAAATAAAAAGCAACGTTGTGTTCACTGTGTTAGATAATGAGATGATGATAAAGTAGATATTGTCTTAGTAGATTTCTTTTTCTTTTACAATGCGTAGTTTCTATAATAGATATGTGTTGCGTGATGAAGATATTTCAGACGAAGTGCATCTTGTCATAAACATGTATAACTTGACCCGTAATGCATATATGACGTACTTAGCAGGAACAATAAACTCGGTATATACCGCTGCTGATTCTTCGGATTATGTCCCCGTTTCAAACAGAGCAAAGTAATCATCCATATTTCAAACAGAGCAAAGTAATCATCCATATTGAAGTGTCTAAAATCACAAAAAAAAAACTAAAAGAAAAAAGCTGGTTATTTTATTAGAAAAAAAAGCCTTACATATATACAACCCCAATATATCAGGATTTCTTAATAACCGGTTTTGTAATGATTGTACAGATATCATATTGCTCCCTAGGTATAAAAAACAAGTTTTCCATAAATGCTTTTGCACAAATGAAATACCAAAAAGTAAGTCCGTTTAAAGGATGTTTTGCTGCCATAGGGATATGTAAATAAGTTTAGGGGAACCTTTTTTTTATTAATCATATCTTTTTGCTTTCAAAAGAAATATATGACTGTTGAATCATTAAGGTGAGATATGTTTCCGTAATTATACGTTTGTATTCAATTTAAGCAATATATCAAAAACACACCAATGCCAAAGTCGATGCCTGGCGCAGAGCGTCGGCTTTGAAGTCCCGAAGTAAAAAGTTTACTTTCTTACGTCGCGGGTTTGATTCCCGCAGTTGGACGTAGAGACAGTTCTCTTGGATGAGAACCGAGGTCACGCGTGTCTCTGTTTATGCTAAGACGAAAAACACCCCGTCCTGCTCAAAGGCCCCTAGTTACAAGTATAGGACAAAATATCTAGCTTTCCGCCGTCTCCATATGATGGAAAAATCCTGAGATTGACGTAAAATGACAATCCAACAAACAAACAAATGCTAGATAGAAGTGCTATTGTTCATAAAAAGACGTGCAGAGTTCTTTTTTTTTCTCTTCTTTCACTACTCATAGCCAAGGTTGTATATTCAACTATCAAAATCCAAGCAGTCTATCCCCCACCAAAAAAAAAAAATCTAAAAAAAATCCCTTATGTAAATAATGTACCTATCAGCCAACACCCCGTCTACATGGTAATTAAGTACACTGTGTTTGTTTGATATTCATACTATTATAAGTTCTTTGACGGGTATGTAAAAAAAAATTGAAATAAACATGCCACAAAAATGATTAACATGTATCATTTGATGCATGAATGTTACTTTTCTGTCTCAGGATTAAGCAACTTTTTAGGATTATTTCAATTTAAACTATAATTTTTTAAAATGTTTACTGAAAACGTCCTCATAACATTTTTAAATGGGTAAAAACTGGATTCATCAGTATGGGAACAATTCAGTGAACAGATCTCTCTGTATTGATATTTAATTGTTTAATTTCTGATGATTTCATTTTAAATTGTACAAATTATCTTCTATAAAGGAGATGCTAAATGTACTAAATAATGTATTTATTCTTACATTTTTTTATTTGAAGTAAAGTTAAACATCCCTGTATTAAACACAAATTACCCCGACTTCAGATGGACATAATGTATCTGTTTACACATTATTTGTGCTTGTGTCTAATTTCATCAGAAAATCTGGCTCTTCGGAAACCGGCTTGGCAGAGTTCATCACACGATCCCGCTGTGTCAGGTCCCGACAATGCGGTTGATGGTTCGAAAACAGACTTATCCTATCATGGAAATACCTGTAGTGTGTCAGCTGGTAAAAGAAGCAATGCTACCTTTTGGGTTAACCTAACAGAAATTCGTAGCATTTATAACATTGTGATCTACTACAGGACGGACAATGTTAAATGGGGTACGTATATAATTATATGCAATTAACTACAGAGCAAGAAAAAGTGTCTTCATATCGTCCTCTTTAAAGTTGGTCAAATAAGCAATACAATTTACTGTTACTGTTGTAAGTCTAATTGAACATGTAATATGAGATATTTATCAGTCTCCATCATTTTGCTTTCACTAATAACTTTTTGGTACATACAAGTATACTCAATACGAAAGTATCAATTTTATATACTTACTTGAGTTCAGGCACATAGTTACTACGATTTCAGATATAAACATTGTACAATTCCATGCGTTCCTAATGTCACAAAGGATCTAGGCGATGTTTTATGTACGAGCATCATAAACAAAATCTCAGTTGTTCTCATAACTTTAGGTAATGCAAGAAACACGGTGTCATTGAGTATACCTAGAACTTTGAAACAAAAATATGTCCATGGTGACAGAACAGTGGCTATCCATTCTTATCGACTAAAGTTAGTGGCGGTCGACTTAACCAGCCCGAGTCTAATTGTTTTTACCCCATGGATCTCGATAATTTTTTGTCAATTAATTTTTTTGTTGTATCTATTGTTTTCAAATAAAAAAAAATTCGAATTCTTACCACCCTGATTTCTTTAGGGGACACCTCATAATTTGTCAAATTTTACTTTTGAATTCTATGGGAATTTGTTGGAAAAGCGCTACATTATCTCATTTTTCCCCATTTTTTTATTATTATTTTGCCCTTTAGATTTCTTCTCCTGTCAAGAAGATGAAGGTCATTGTAAAGTGACCAAATTGTGAAATTTCAAAAAAGGTTACCATCTCGATTGCTCTAGGTAGTAATTACAAAGTTTTTTTTTCGATGCCCACTACCTCTAAATTTGTTATATTGTGGTTTTATACACATTGGTGCAGACTTGGTAACAACTAGCAATATTTAGATTGCTGTTTTTTTTCTGATGTTCTGTCATGAGTTTAGTAAAATATCCATGGACGTCTACGAACATATAAGCGATTTATATGCCATTCTTCAACGTTGAAGATCGAAAAGCAGCGACGTCGCTAGAGCCATTTTAGCGTTTTTACACAATCATTGTTGTAAAATCACATTTTCAGAGCAGTAGACGTTTCAGATTATTTTAATCTTATGTAAACACAATTTTTTGAAAGGTGTACTGCCGCTTCGGGTTCGTTCGGGGTCTGCTAGGGCATTGTCGGTGCCCATAGGTTATATCGTGGTCCATCAGTTTAAAATGTTGCTTACAACAATTTTATCCGAGACAAGTTTTTTTTCTCTTGATAAATGAACAAGAAAATGTGGTTTATATTATGAAATTTTTTCGACATCAACAATATACTCTCAGCATTTCCAAATGTTCTTGCCTATAAATTGTTTTAAAAAAAATGAGTACTAAGGTCATGAAAAGAGAGAGAAGGAGAAATGACACAGATACACAAAAAGAGAAGAAGGAAATAGAGTTCCTAAGTCTACTATTAATGTAAAATTGAATATTGATATAAAATTTAAACAAATTAATTATTAATTGTGCACTGCATATGCATACATGGGAGTTGTAAACCGAGTAAACATATTTAGATTAAAAGCCCAAATTTATATTTCTAGGATCATCAAATCAATATACAAGCAGATTTATGGGATTCTATGTGTACATTTCAAACACAACAAAAAGAGAAGATGGTCACTTGTGTTTTCATGACAGAAACTACACCAGAGCCACAATACCCTCCGTCGCTAACATAACTTGCCCCTTCCATGGACAGTACGTCATCTACTATAATGAAAGACCAGTGAAAGACAGTTATACAACTGGACACTCTACAAATGCCTTTACTGAACTATGTGAAGTCGAGGTTTATGGTAGGTGAAAAATATTAACTCCAAAGAAATAAAGTGAAAATAGTTATAAGAAAAGTACATTTTTATTCATTATTTATTGTGTTTATTTTTGAATCACGTGTTTTTGTATCATTTATGTATGTATATTATTTTTTTTTTATTTTTTGTAAGGCTGCTCAAGTCCTAGACGTTACGGATCTAATTGCTCAAAGGCCTGTCCGAAAAACTGCAAGAGGTACTGTCAAATAGAATCGGGAAATTGTCTACAGTGTTCGCCTGGTTACGGAGGGGACCGCTGTGAACAAGGTAGGAAATCTAAATAAGACATACTTATTTGTGACAAACAACTTGATGAAACATTATGGAATATAAGCAGTTTCTTTTAACGTCATCAATTCGTAAGTCCTATGGTCCATACAATGACATTGAGAGCAAATACAATTTATCGTCATTTCAAGTGCTGACTAATGTTTTTCATACTAATTGTTAAAATTTTATGCACACATTAAATTGTCGACGGATTTTCCCGTTATTTCCCAATCACGCGACCGGTCAGCAGAGTAAACTCATCCATGGCTGATTTGCTCTTCATCTTTTTATTGTTGAATGGACTTTTGACTTGAATATTGTTTGTCTGTATACATGTACATGTATTTTTAATTTGAATTACGTTTTAATTAATATTTTTAATTTTATTAGTCGCCCGCGTGAAGCATTGGTAAGAGCGTCTGCTGTAGAGTCGCGAAGTAAGGAGTTGATCCTTACGTAACGGGTTTGAATCGTTCTGATCCTTTGGATGAGACCGTCCAAACCAAGGTCCCGCGCCGCAATAGGTGCTGACACAAAAAAATCCCTCATCGCTCAATGGCCCTCAGCGTCGAATATAGGGCAAAAATTGTAGCTCCCAACCGGTTTTGGAGAGGAACGTTTACTCCCCGTTACACGACGGACTCTGGTTGTTGTAGGTATTTTGTTGTGTTTAAGGCTGTTACCAACAAGCATATGACTTGGTTGTATAAGAATTAAATAGAAATCTTAAAATTAAGCATATTTTTTTAACCGCAGGTTGCGTATGTTAAAAAACAAAAATAAAAAAAAAAAAAATAGTCAATTTTGACAGAAATTTTACTTATGGCTCATCATACCAATATTTCCAGCAATCCAATTTTTCATCATTCAAAGACAAAACCGATTTATCAAGGACGTAACAGAACAAAACACGCATATGTAATCCTACTCAGAAAATCTAGTATACGTAAACAGTTAAGTAAACATTCTTATATTACTTTACGTCTTTAAAGTAGAATCGAAGAAAAAACTTACATATTAAAACATTAACTTAAGCCCTCAAGGAGAAATTGTTACCATTGTAAAAGAAACAAACTATCTACAAATCTTGGATTGAAGTACCTCAATCATGTAAAAGTATGTAAACGTGGACCCCTGTCTGCGTGGTCAGCATTGCAGCAATATAATTACCCTTTATACAATAGGCCTTAACTAAGCAATGCCTGCAAATCTTAACATGGAGTTCGTTAAAGGTAAAACTATACTGTAGAGGTCCAGTATAGGAAAATAAGTAAAAACCATATACATAACAAATCATGATTTGATATCATTTGTGAAAGATATAATTTTATGTAGATTATAACATTATTGATAACAACGTTATTTATATATATTTACATTTGCAAATGTTTTCCTTTATATAACACTACTGAAAGCAATCCGTATCTATAACTGTATAACTACCGGTACGGGGTCAAGAGGCCTTAGATGTGATTATCAATAAACGTTCGACGTTATTTCTCAATGACGTCATAAAGGATGGACGCGCGTTTAATTGATTACACACATGGCGTTGGGTTTGAAAAATAATGCATTTCACACGTTAAAAGTCACAATCAGGCAATTACATGTATAAAGTATGAATAAGTCACAAATGTAAATATAAGTTATAAGGTATCATTTTAAAATATCTATAGTGCTATAGATACGGGTTGGTACTAGATCAAATTCATCATAAAACCCTTCGGGCTTTATGGAATTTAATCTCGTGACCGACCCGTATTTATATCCCGATAGATATTTCAAAATTTTACTTTATTTCTTAAATATCCTTCTATAGCTATTCACATGGAAAACACTGAAATAACTCGGTCTTGATGTTGCTGACATTTAAGTTATGTTAGTTTTGTTTGGAAAATTCATACTTGATTGATTGAATGATTGTATACTGTTTAACGTCCCTCTCCAGAATATTTCACTGAAATGGAGACGTCACCATTGCCGGTGAAGGGCTGCAAATTGAGGCCTATGCTCAGCACTTACGGCCTTTGAGCAGGGAGGGATCTTTATCGTGCCACACCTGCTGTGACATGGGGCCTCGGTTTATACGGTCTCATCCGAAGGACCGCCCTATTTAGTCGCCTTTTACGAAAAGCAAGGGGGTACTGAGGACTTATTCTAACCCGGATCCCAACGGGGCAAATTCATACTTGATATTCATACTTGATGTTTTTCCCCTAAAATAGAAGTTCATTTTTGTTTACAATCCTCTCTCCCTCGACCTGCTGACATTGATTTGAGGATTAACTATTTGATTTTAAAATTTTATGATGTAATCAGTCAAATGGCTTGTGTTTTAATTTGCATCAACACATTTGCATTATGAGACAAGCCAATCGATTGATCATTGGCATGGAAGGAAAAAAAAAACTAACAGTTATTTTTTTTATATTTACATGCTCTTGATTCCACTAATTCACGCACTACAAGCCCTGCTTTCGTCTCTGTGTTTTTAAAAACTGTGATTAACAAGTGCATTGGTGTAGAAATAAAGAACATTGTGTATTTGTAATTTTATCTCGGACAAAGAGACTGGAAATGTCAATATTAGTGAATGCATGTAAATCTTTCCTTTCGATCGAACTTGTTCACATGTAAAAGTATTTTTAAATGTTATATTTGATTCCTTTCAACACAAGTTAGGGTGTGTTTGTGTGTGTGTGTGTGGGGGGGGGGGGGTAGATTTCAATGAAAATATTCTGTTTCAGAAGGTTTGAAGAAAAATGTCGTTTATTATTGGGCAGATAATAATTTCAATAATAGCTTAAAAACACATATTTTGTTCAAGATTAATTAAAAATGCAGCAAAATGAAGATTAGAATCTTTGAAAAATACATTTACATATGTTAACTAATGATGCCCCCCCCCCCCCAAAAAAAAAAGAAAAAGAAAAAGAAAAAAATAAGAACTTCTGATGAACAAATATTTGCTTATTGAATCTAATACTAACCTTACCAGTAGTACATGTATCGGGCTGAAAGCACAAATACATACTACAATGTATTGAGTCGCAGTGTGTATCCAATGATAGATACGCAGTTTTCTTTTGCATGTCTAACACAACTGTATTGAATTAATTGATATTTAAAAATTTCATTTGTGATAATCGCGAATTGTGAAACAATTGGCTAGTCTTTTTTTTCATTCAGGTGTCCAATGAGGTCTATAAAATAATTGATTGTGTAAACCAAGCAATGGGCCGTAATTGGAGTAAATTACAACTTTAACATCAGAAACTGAAAAAGGGTATATAATATTTAGGTTCATGTTATGTATAAATTTATATATTTTTATCGTACTAACGACGAAAATCTTAATGTGGCACTTACATTTGTGGTGGAACTGTTTTGCTGATTTTTTCACTGCGGCGCTACAGAATTTGACGGTAAAACAGACCATGGAGAACCCTGTGTCATGATCGGGAAACAGCTGAAATATCCGTACACATTGCACATTTTAGTTTCTGAATTAAGACCATATAATTAGTATGTAAAACGTCATTTGACTTAATGATCGAAAGTATTTGCTCAAAAGGTTATTTTATCGAACTAAAATAAAATACGAAAAGATGGTTTTAAACAAAACTCCTCATATTCTTTTTTGATCAACTTGTTTGTCAATAGCATAAATCCTTCTAATGTTAGTTTGCAAGGCATGCTATACATGTTGCAGTGTATGAATCGAATCCGTTGTAATATAACTAAAAAAAACCTTGCAGATACATCATAGCAAATGTAACGCATGTTGATAATTGAAAAATTAAAGTCATCATTGTTGCAACGCACTTTGAAAAAATTACACAGTTTGAGTTTTTTTTCAAAGTGCGTTAAAATAGGGACAATATCAACGCACTTTGAAAAATTTTTCAAAGTGCATTATGAGTGTACATAGGCTTTTTTTACCATGTGGAGATTTACAGCACTTTGAAAAAAAAATGTGTAATACAAAAATTATAGACTTAGATTTTAGTAATTGAAAGAATTATTTGTAATAATTATATTTTTCGAAAAACGTTTTAATTTATATGCATTGATTCACTTTCATTTAGAACAAGAAGATGAGTATATAGATGGTCTCTATGTGAAACTCTTTTTTCTTATACATAGCCGTCGGTAGCAAATTGAAAGTGCCCCCCCCCCCCCAAAGGTAAACCCCAATTTTTAATGTCATTATGTATATCTTTGTAAAACATTTCTTTGTAGACCCTCAACCTTCATGCTACCGATTCCTAGGCTACACCCAGATATATGTATTTGCATAAGATTTAGTTTACATTAAATGCATGCCATGCAAACTGGAAAAAAATAAAGTACAGTAACACATTTAAGAGAGAAAAAATTCTAAAAGTATGGAAAAATCAAAATCGCTCACTTTCACATCCAGAAGTGACCTTATTACCGAAAAGTTATCCAACAGGTTCAATCATTTATCACGCCTAAGATTTTCCAGAATTTTCAAAGTGCGTTAATATGGTCAATATCAACGTACTTTGAAAAGAAATTTTATTTTTTCAAAATGCGTTGATGTGGTCCCAAATTTAACGCTCTTTGAAATTTTTTTTCAAAACGCGTTATTTTTCAAAGTGCATTGTAACACATCATATTTATTACAAAATTTGTTGTTAGATATTCATCCTTTTATAGTGAAAATCCAAATATAGAACAAAAGTTTCAGACTTTATTTCAAACTATCCGGACTTCATCGTACCAAGCTAATTGGATAAATTTTGTTGACATAAAAATAGACTTACCATGGTTAATTGGTACATGTTATGCTTTGTCCATGTATTTGAAGTGTCAAATTGAAGGTCACTGCATTCTTTGTTTTCATGTATTAGATTTTGAAGAAATTTTTCTTAGTATGAATACAAAAAAAGTATCTTTATAACCGTGTGTGATTGGTGCCCATCGAAATTCCTATAGATTTATGAAGATTTGTTCTCCGAAAACCATTTAGATATGGCCAAGCTGAAACTCAAGATTTAAAAAAAATATATATAAATTCAATGTATTTATTTTTGCATGCAATCAAAATGTATGTAACAAATATGTAATATAAAGTTCACAACATTTTTTTTCAGTATGTGAAACTGGATTTTACGGAGATAATTGTAACCAAACTTGTGGATATTGCAAAGATGATAAAACATGCTATCCAACAAATGGGACGTGTTCAAACGGATGCGCCGCTGGCTTTCAGGGCTTGCTTTGTAACACAGGTAGAGAAATAATGGGCAAAATATGTGGGTCTTTCATTTTATCTTTACTTTAAATAAGAACAATAATTAAAGAAAGTTATGAAAGAATTACATAGATTTAAAAAAGGCTACATTTTTGTTACCACCTTGGGAAAAAAATTCTTATTGTCGAGATAAACTGAAAAAAATATATATAACCACATCTTAATCGGAAATTCAATCATTTATCACACCTAAGATTTTCCAGAATTTTCAGAGTGCGTTAATATGGTCAATATCAACGTACTTTGAAAAGAAATTTTATTTTTTCAAAATGCATTGATGTGGTCCCAAATTTAAAGCACTTTGAAATTTTTTTTTCAAAGCGCGTTATTTTTCAAAGTGCGTTGTAAAACATCATATCTATTATAAAATTTGTTGTAACATTGTAGATATTCATCCTTTTATAGTGAAAATCCAAATAAAAAACAAAAGTTTCAGACTTTATTTCAAACTATCCGGACTTCATCATACCAAGCTAATTGGATAAATTTTGATGACATAAAAATAGACTTACCATGGTTAATTGGTACATGTTATGCTTTGTCCATAAATTTGAAGTGTCAAATTGAAGGTCACTGCATTCTTTTGTTTTCATGTATTAGATTTTGAAGAAAATTTTCTTAGTATGAATAAAAAAAAGTATCTTTATAACCGTGTGTGATTGGTGCCCATCGAAATTCCTATAGATTTATGAAGATTTGTTCTCCGAAAACCATTTAGATATGGCCAAGCTGAAACTCAAGATTTTTAAAAAAAAATATAAATTCAATGTATTTATTTTTGCATGCAATCAAAATGTGTGTAACAAATATGTAATATAAAGTTCACAACATTTTTTTTCAGTATGTGAAACTAAATTTTATGGAGATAATTGTAACCAAACTTGTGGATATTGCAAAGATGATAAAACATGCTATCCAACTAATGGGACGTGTTCAAACGGATGCGCCGCTGGCTTTCAGGGCTTGCTTTGTAACACAGGTAGAGAAATAATGGGCAAAATATGTGGGTCTTTCATTTTATCTTTACTTTAAATAAGAACAATAATTAAAGAAAGTTATGAAAGAATTACATAGATTTAAAAAAGGCTACATTTTTGTTACCACCTTGGGAAAAAAATTCGTATTGTCGAGATAAACTGAAAAGAAATATATATAACCACATCTTAATCGGAAATCAAAATAGAATTCTTTAATTTTTTCTGTAAATACATTTAACTTAATTTAGAATGTGCACTTGGATTCTATGGAGAAGATTGTCTCTTGACTTGTGGTAAATGTAACTCGTCGAATAAATGTAATCCAAAAAACGGGACCTGTCAACATGGTTGTATTGCTGGGTATTTGGGCTTCCTTTGTAATAAAGGTATAAAAAAAACAGTTGTAATGTAGGAGAAAAAGAAATCATTTTTCTACACAATATATAGAATTTATCAAAACGATGATTTTTTTTAAAAAATAAATGTAGTAAATCCATGAGTGATAAATCAAAATTAATATTTTAAGTTACCTATTTTTGTTTATTATTTCAACATTCGATTTTCCCTACAACTATACATGTATCTTTCATCGTCTTATGAAATGAAACTGATATATTTTTTTTTAGATGTCTAGCTTTTTTTTTCATTTAGAAAATTTGGCTTATAACCGACCAGCTTGGCAGACGTCAAGCCATGACTTAAATGTTGGTCCTTTAAGAGCGGTTGATGGACGGAAAACCGATTTTTCTCATACTGGGTACCAGTGCAGTATATCAGCTAATTTACGTAAACAGGCAACATGGTGGGTGAATCTCACTGAAATACGAAGCATACGTGACGTTATCATATACTACAGAACGGGAAACAAAAATTGGGGTAAATACAATTTGTATTTTAGCACCTAAATACAACAAAACAATAAGAAAAGCATTTTTGGATAAAATATAATACACGTATGCACTTTTGTAAAATTTAAAATAGCTTTACATATATTATCAAACTTTTAACGATGTTTTTGCTAACGTGTTAAATCTTCACAATGGAGATATCAATACTTGCATGTGGTTGACAGCAATATATAGATCAAAAAATATTTAAAAAAACAACATATTTGCAATATTAAATTTAAAACAAAAAGAATACTTATTTTGAAATTAATATTAATATTTCCGTTTTCTATTATGATGCAAGAATGCTATCTTGCAGATGAAAACAATGGTTTCACACCCCGTTTTATGGGGTTTTATCTCTACGTATCAAACACAACAAATACGCAAAATGGTCACCTATGTTTTCACGACACAAACTATACCAGAGCCACTATACCAGCTGTTGTTAACATTAGGTGCCCAGTACATGGACAGTATGTTATTTACTACAACGAAAGGCCAATAAAGAATGATAACAGAACAGAAGCTTCCGAGTATGCATTTACTGAACTCTGTGAGGTCGAGGTTTTTGGTACGTTATTTCAATTAAATAATGTCTTTATTGAAATTTTGCCTGCGGAAGTTTAAGCTGTTTTTAACATATAAACATAGAATATATAAGAAGTTAATTACATATTCCATACATATTTTCAGGTTGTTCTTCTCCTAGTCACTATGGCCAGGACTGTTCAAAACCATGTCCGAGAAATTGTGATTTATACTGTCACATAGAATCAGGAAATTGTCTACAATGTAAACCTGGCTACAAAGGAAAAAGGTGTGAACAAGGTAAGCGTCTATCTTAGGTCATTAATATCTTCCTTAAAAGAAAAATGTTTAAGTGCATTCATATTAATGGTATTGACAAGAATCATTGCAATATAAATTATAAGATGGAAATATTTTTCCTTCAGTGAAATTCATCATCAATTCTTCTTAGTTATGATTGTCACAATAGGTAAATCTGTAGAGCACTCGCTCCATGACGGTAGATGATGAGTGCAAATCTCGGCTGCGACAGAGAAAAGACGTTAAATCTTATTACATTTGTTCCTTTGTTGGGGACTCTTAAACACCCAATTTTATGTTAACGCCCCCAAAATCTACCTGATTCAAGATCAATAATTTACCGCCTGTCAATCATTAAAAAAACAATAGCTTCTGATTTGATTGACAGGTCAGCTACCTGTGCTTCCTAATAATCTGAGTTTGCATGATTTGAAAACAATTACCTGATCACGCGTCAAACGCTTTCATGTACCCGCATAGTATACACGCGGATTAGAAAACTCCAATATGTTTGAATTTTATTTCAAAAAATAATTGAAAGTAGATTATTAATACATTGACATAATAAAATATTTCTTTTCTATCTTCACTGCTGTTTGTTACTTGTAAGTGTTGTATCGTCCACGTTTTCCTGTAGAAAAAAGACCGCGTCCACAGAAACCGGCTCTATTTCCCGTAATTAGAAGTCCGACGAATTAAATTATTTTTTAAGAAACGGGATAAAAGAAAAATATTCGGCACTAATAAACGGCATTGCATAGTTTTTAAAAGATGTTTTATTTTGTACTATGGCTACAATCCGCACGATGCTGCACAGAAATTGATGTCAGAATTAATGCTCGAATTTCCTTAATGTACTTAATGAAAATGTGAAGATATATAATTAATAGTGATCGATTCTGAAAAGAAATCTTTCTAACAATGAAATTTTGTTAACACACGAAGAATCAAAAATATGGAATATTTTGGACAACATTGTTGGCCATTAAAAAAAACATTCCGATCGCGGTAAATGCATGTTCACATGCTCGACGAATAGGTGGATTAATAATTTTTTATTCCAGTAGTCAGACTTTTTAATCAAGTGATTTCTTTTATTGAAGATTAAAAAAGATAAATATTATTGATTTGTAGTTTTTACTTGTGATTTTTTCTTTTATGTAAGGAAAACTTTTTCTAAAACGGTATACAGGTATCTTATTATTATTTTTCCCTTCAAAACATTACATAATACTATGATGACGATGAATGCGTTTAGTTTACAAATAAACTTCATATTAAAATAGTTATTTTACGTAGTTTCACTGAAACCCAGACACAAAACACGTAATGTTGACCCTGATTACCAAACACAGACTTCCGTTGTAATTCTACGTATACACAGATTTTTGACATCTTGGGTATTGAGGGTCTCCAGGTAAATAACACCACTGTTACTTTGACCACTCCCTCTCCTCAGGTAACCGTACGGTAAAAAAATTGGGTCCTTAAGTGAACCTTGTGGGTCATCTAGCGAAGACCTTACTAACAGAGACACCGTATCACGACATGTGATGGCACAATTAAAAAACCTGGCTATTTCCGTTTAAAATAGAACATTACATGAAATTAATGACGTCATATTTCCAGAATGGTACTCCTTCATACCATTTTCTTTTATGATCTTTCGCAGTCATGAAAGCAACTAATACTTAAGCCAATTTTAAAAACATTAAATTTTCAAAACCGTACCATCTTCTTTCATTG